ATTAGATTTTTCTTTCTTTCTTTCTTTCTTTCTGCCTATTTCTTTTCCTTTCTTTCTTTTCAGGTATATTTTTTTTATCTATTTCTTTTCCTTTAATTTACCTTAGGTTTCTTTTTCTTTTAAATTTTTTTCCGTCTTCTCTCTTTAGAATTCTGTCGTTCATTTTTTTTTCTAGCTATTTCTCGTTTCCTTTCTCATCTTTCTTTCATTCTTTCTTTTTACCTGTTTTTCTCCTTTCTTTCTCTCTAGATTTCTTTCGTTTTTTACCTGTTTCTATTCTTTCTTTCTTTCTTTCTTTCTTTCTTTCTTTCTTTCTTTTTCTTTCCTTTTTTACCTCTTTCTCTCCTTTCTTTCTATTTTGGTTACTTTATTTCTTCTTACCTATATCTTTCTTTTCTTTCTCTCTATTTCTTTCTTTCTTCTTACCTTTATCTTTCTTTTGTTTATCTCTCTTTCTTTGTTTCTATCTTTGTTTGTTTGTTTGTTTGTTTCTTTCTTTCTTTCTGTTTCTTTCATTTCTTTCTCTCTAGGTTTCTTTCTTTCTTTCTTTCTTTCTTCCTGACTTTTTATTATTAATTTTACTCTTTCCTTTTCATTTTCTTTCTTTCTTTCTTTCTTTCTTTCTTTCTTTCTTTCTGTTTGTTTTTGGCTTGGCTAAAAGTTTCTCTGGGTTCGTCTTGTCCTCCTTTGTTCTTGTCCTAAAATCAGTTTTTCTATCTAATCTCATCACAAAAACCTGCTTTTCTTTCCTACCCCGTTGTTTCTGTCGATACGGCGTCACGCCACGATGAATCCACCACAGACCGAGACTTCCTTCCAGATCTTCACCCACCCTTCTTCTTTTGTCTGCTTCTCGACTGAACTAACGTTTTTATGCTCGGCTGGGTGAAAACTCATCGATATCCGGACAATATATATATATATATATATATATATATATATATATATATATATATATATATATATATATATGCACAGAGACAGAGAGAGACAAAGAGAAAGAATGATGAAACACAAAGCATAAGAGAATTGGAAAGAGAATCTTAGGACTTGACTTACTTCCCAAGTATTAGGGTGAATTCGGTTTTGATGCAACAATATATATATATATATATATATATATATATATATATATAAGCATTACGCCCCGAGCAAGGAGTGAAGCCACTAGGATGCAGGGGGTTGCGGAAGATTTGGTTCGAGAGCAGATAGGAGTGATAGAAGAAAGGATGAGGAGAGGGATAGTGGATAGATCAAGGTAAATGGAGATGTCGATTGACATTACATTTGAATAGTTGGAGATTATAGCTCTCGGGGAAACAGTAATAGGGAAGCGTGTTTCACAGGCGATAGGTGCGAGATATGAAGCTATTGGAGTAGAAGAGACGGCTACATTTAAAAGTTTCTACAGTGAAAGGGTGAGAGCGGGATGCCAGCCTCGTAGGGCGCTTGAATTCATGGAGTCTTGGAACCAGTGAAAGCAGTTCATCGGAGCAATTACCATGAAAGTATTTGTAGAAAAGACAGAGAGAGGCGACGGCGCGTCTGTGAGAGAGCAACTGTAGACGAGATGCCAGATCAGGGCCAATTATATTACATATCCGCCTCTGGACCTTGTCAAGAACTCCGAGGTAAACAGCAAGTGTACCAGACCATATATGGTAGCAATACCCCATGCAAGGGAGAATGGTTGATTTCTATATTTGAAGTATCGATTCCAGGGAGAAAAATTTCCTAGCGCGGCACAGATAGCCAACTTTCCTTGCGGTGGACGAAGCAATTGACTCAATGTATTTGTTCTATCTCAGGTCAGCAGTCAACGTGAGACCGAGACAACGGGTTGACCATACTGGATTTACTTTATCTTGCGGTTTGGAGAATATAGTGAATAACAACAATAAATTCGTAGCCTAATAAGGAATAATATTGTACAATCGTCGCAGTGGATGAAGTTGACTTGATGCGATAGAGATGTGGCTCCACTGACGAATGCTGGGAATACATTGGATAGAATAAGTGAGGCATGAAGAAGTCTTGAAGAACATAAGAAATACAATGAAGCTTATCCTTAAATTCAGAAGTGATATTTGGGTCACATAATGAGGAAACAGGGCCTAGAGAATTTAACACTCTGTTGGGGCCACCCACCTTCTCATCAGAATGGACTGATCTCTCTACTACTAATAGGACAGTTCTATAGAGTTCTGGGAGATCAGGTGACCATCACACTTCCGTCTCTCTACCGGAAGATACAGTTGGACTTTATACTCTTTCTGATTGTTACTGACTAACCTGCGTTCGTTTGACTACTAGTCTCTCTGTTGTAAATACCTCTTCAGATATACCAGTATTTTCCCCTACGTATGTGTTTGTCCTTATTTCAATACACGCACAGGGAAACACTCAACATCTCAACACACTCACAGGACATACTGAAGTTAAGAGAAGCAGAGGGAAACTGCGAGGGAACTATTTAACGAGTTTGAGTGAATAGATATTAAAACATGGACAAAGATTCAGAAGTTAGAGTAACAAAAGGCAGGATGTTGTGGAGAGACATGAACTCTCATGTCTTGAATGCAGGTAGCACACAAAGGAAAGAGAAGAATTTGTAGATCTTATTCCGTATATATTTTAGTCTAATTTTTCCTCTTTTAATGGTAATAGTAATATTAGCCGTTTCTTTATAAGGAAACATTCAGTATTAATTAATCGTGCTGCTGTCGGTTGAAATTTATAAAATCTTTCTCTTAAAATAATTTTTCAGGAAAACACGTTTCTCAAACCCAGTAGCTGTTAATGCTCTTTACATTATTGATAGGGGTTTCCTTCCTTACGTTTTGTTTGGGGTCGTGTGGAACATCAATATTTGATTATGTCTATTCTCTCTTCGAGCGACATATTATACCCATTTTATTTGTTGCTGCTGTTGAAGGTTCTCAAGAGATATGGTTTCTGTTATCTGGTGCAGTTCTTTGTGATTGTGTAGCGCCCGTGCAAGAGGATCGAGGACCGATGGTCCTCGCTAAGACCTACCATTTTCATTCGTTGAAAGCCATTTTTAACAATTGACCTGAAAAAGCGGTATACAGCTGACAGCTTATACATTTCTGAACGTGTTTGACGCTATACATGAGATCAATACGAAACTCGTGATCTGACAAGACTATTAAAAAACATGACACGGATTTTTTTTTAAGATTAGGATCGATACATTCTTCATCCTTCGTCAAGGGAAATTATCATTACTGTAAAAATAGCAAAATGATAATCATCTGAAAAAAAAAGGACACAGACTAATAAAAGTACTTTCTCTCGGAACTTAACAGAATGATACTGTTATGGGGTCCTCCCCTTTTCATATAAGTGGACTCTACCAGTGTTACTTGGAGTGCTGCCATTAAATACCCAGAGTTAGACAGTCAGTGAGACAGGATATACGGAGAGAGAGAGAGAATATACGAACGGAGATAGAGTGAGGTAACCTCTTGTAGAAGTCAGTTACAAGCACGTAGACTCTAAGGAAGTCCTACTTCGAGACTGTATATATCTATCTGTATTTGCTACTAACCGCGTTCCTGGACTTACTAACAGTATTACTCTTTGTATGATTGTGTAAATACATTTTATTTCTTATATTTGATTATTGCGTTTGTCATTCCTTGGAGACCGAATTCATCTCGGAATCCACAACAGATACCTTCGTTACAAGCAAATTGATATACAATTGTTTGACTATCAGTTAACAATGAAGAAATATATCATACGTACATCTCTCTGGCGCTATAGTCTTGGGTATGACGATAAATTCCATCCGGCAGCAAGTCCTCTGATCGGGAGATTCGAGATTTTGAGGAGCGTAGAACCACCTCGTAATTGCTGTTGTACACGGGTTTCCCCCTGATGCGGTGTGGTAGCACCTTTTAGGGTCCCAGCTATGGGTAAATAGTGAAGCCTCAAGCAAAAATGAAAACTTTTTTTATAGTAAAAATACTAGCAATACATTCTTATAAAAAATACCAACGATACATTTTTGTAGTGAAATTACCAGCAATACTTTTATATACATATAAAAATACTACCAATATTACATTTCTATAGTAAAATAACCAACAATTCATTTTATAGCAAAATGATCAACAATATATTTTTTAGTATAATGACCAACAACACAAGTTTATAGCAAAAGTATTACCAGTAATACATTTAAAAAATACCAACAATACATTTTATCATCTACAAAATATATCTTTAAAAAAATATACATTTACCCTGAAAATAAAAATTATGTACAAAATATCAGTAATTGAAAGCATAAAATTACGTACAAAATATTCGGATTTGATACGCTACTAAACAAAATCAACCAACAATCTCTGGTGTCAAATCTGCCGGAGATTCTCACTCAAGTAAAGATGGCTGCACGGAAACAAGAAAAAGTTGAATTAGAAGATTTTCACGTTGAGCATGGTGACAATAACCAGTCCCGAAAAGGTTTAATAGGAAACCTGAACACACATGTAGAGTTTTTAGTAAAGACAGCTACTTGGCAAATATGACATTGACAAGTTTGTAAAAGGTCTTGAACGGCATATCAGAGTGCATGATGACAAAACTCAGTCCCCAAATATTTTTATTAGGAAGCGTGAGCATAAATGTAGGGTGTCTCATGAATTGTGCAAATCATTGGCCTGTCTAGAAATGAACATACGATCCAGTGCTAAATTCTAGGTTTGATTGGTGAGTATTTTTACGGCATGTCAACATTTTGCAGGCTATTTAAAGCCATAAAATATTTACATGTAAAAGTTTTAGCGGGGAGACTGAGAATTTGGTGATACAGTTCCTACTAATGAACCCATAATTGAGGGAAAAAATGTGGATTCATACTTTTTTACGTTTGCGCGTAAATGAATATAACGAATCCTCCTGGAATTGGAACTCGGCAATCTAATTCAAATTTCGAGGCCTTATCTGTTACACCATCCGCACACCTAAACTTACAGCAGCTGGTATTCCCAAACGGTCACTCATTTAGGTACTTACCAAGCTCGACGTTGCTTAACTTCAGTGATCGTACGGGAACGGTGGTTTTCAACGTAATATTGACATAGGCCCCACTACAGTAGATTAAATACCACACACACACACACACACATATATATATATATACACTAATCTGCAAAACTGTAAATATGAGATACTCAGTGCGGTTCCAACTTATAGCAGTAGTCATGGTCTGCAACACCAGCTTGCTAGCCAATGCTTCACAAACATATATATATATATATATATATATATATATATATATATATATATATATATATATATATATATATATATATATATATATGATAGGATATTAGGAGAGAAAAGCATGGAACACATACAAATACAATGAAGGCATTAATTAGTTATAGAGAATATAAAGTCGCAAAACCTTAGTGGTGGTCATTCTCGTTCATGAAATCGACAGCCATCGCACACACACACACACATACACACACGTGCACACACACACTCACACACACGGACTCATAAATAATTACATCGGTTACACAACCACACGCTTATCCAGACGACTTGCGTCACACCTATCTGATCATAGCTCCATTAGAACCCATTTAAACATATACATAAACTTACCAGACTCCATTAGAAACATACTAGTAGAAAACACAAATATAATAACTTCATCCACCTGTAAAAAAAGATTAAAAATAATGGAAGCTTTAATAATGAAAAAGAAAAAGCCAACTCTTTACAATATTAATTATGAACAAGGTCACAATGTGTTAACCGTATTCAGAAATTAAAAACATCTCTACAACACACTAAAACATACACATAATGCACACACTCAATTAAGCTGAAAAACTGAAATATCCTTGATAATGGCTAAAGGTATAGCCGAAAGCGCTCGGAACTATAAAACATTTTGACAATTTTTACATACTCTTTGTCCAGAAAAGAAAGCTCTTGTTCAAACACAAGAAACATTAAATAAAAAGCTTAACCGTAGTACCTTGTCTATCGCTTTTATTGAGACATGAATAAACACACACACACACACACACACACACACACACACACACACACACACACACACACACATATATATATATATATATATATATATATATAAAAATACAATATTTTGTTATGCTAATTAACAAGATATTTGTATCCATTACATTTGAAAAGAAGAAATATAGTTTTAAGATATCTTATATACATGTGATAAAAGTTTCAATATCAAAGATAGATCGTATGTAAATATAAAAGTAAATATTGATATCAACATATCAGAGGCGACAGACTGTTTCATGCTAGATGTAATCATCAGGCCGCGTGGCCAGACGATTACGTCTAGGATGAAACAGACTGTCGCCTCTGAGTGTTGACTTCAATGCTCACTTTATATATATATATATATATATATATATATATATATATATATGCATGTATGTATGTAATGTATATATATGTTACTGCCACCATCTTATGTTACTGTCCAGCCTCCTGAAAAATGGATGTAATTCCATGAAACTCAGAGGAGAGTTAACAACTTTATTTTTATTTATTAATAGTGCTCTATCTCTTGATATAGAGCACCCTAATTCTAGATTGCTCGCCTTAAAAACGTTAGAATTATTATGAACCAACGGTTTTTGTCGAAATATAATTTTTTTAATATATATATATATATATGTATGTGTGTGTGTGAATATTGATGTGTATGTCTGTTCCGATTTCTATCTATCTATCTATCTATCTATCTTAATCTGTGCATTATCTATATATCTATTTATCAATCTATCTATCTACAAACACTGCAGTTGAGAATGCTAGCCATGACAACTCTTGTGAGTGACTGTGCCTTACTCGGGCCTGTATGAACAAGACATTTTTTTTAACGTATATTCAAACACATTCGCACAACATACACAGACACCCTGCACACACACACACACACACACACACACACACACACACACACACACACACACACAACACAAACAACTATCCAACTTTGGTGTTATCCAAAAGTTCGAAGAACTTAAGCCCTCATTAAAAGGAGAAAAAATTGTCAGAAAATTACGTGGATTGATTTTGAGTAATTGGTGAAGTATCTGGCGAGACACGGGAAACCTCGAATAACTGAGGACATTAACATTAGTCCTACTCTTCAAATTCACAAAATTTTCGGTAACTCCTCGTCTTTTTTTCTCTCATTTTCACACCCTCTGTTTATATATATATATATATGGATATATATATATATATATACATCTATATGAGTGTGCACGTGTGCGAGAGTATATGCATATTTACATGCGTATGTATATATATGTGTGTGCGTGTGCGTGGTGAAAGTGTATACATATGTATATGCGTGTCTATATATCTATATGTTTGAGTGCGGTGAAAGTGTGTACATATGTATATGCCTTTATGTATATCTATGTGTGTGCGCATGTGGGTTCTACGTGCCGTCTCAAACGTTCCTCTTCATTCTGTCATTCATAAAAGCTACGGTCAAAAAGTCATTAACGCCCATCATTTTATCTGGCAGCTGACAGAGAATGAGTCCAAATCAAAGTATACTATCTATAAGTAGGTGGCCAATGACAGACTAATATTTTCACCTCCATTTTTTTTTATGTCAACTTTAAGTAAAGTAGAAAGAACGCTTTCTCTTATTCTACAGCGTTTAGTGTTTGTTGGTGCATAAAACCCGAATGGCTTTCACATCACTGATAAAGTCGATTAATCAAAGAAATCATGTGGAAAATATAAGAAAATTACATCCCCAATGTGTGTCCGTATTTTTGTGCGCATATAGCTGTAGCTTCTTACCGGGATTAGGAAGATTGTATTACGCCAGTATTCCCAAATGCACGTACCTTGAAAATTAACATTCGATATCCTTGTTCTCATCTCGAACCCTGATTACTAGTGACGGAGAAGAATCAAACTCGTCAAATAATCTATTATATCTATATAAGTCCGTTTTATGTATACGTATATCTATGTATGAATGCACATATAGTCCACTATGTTTCCTCCTACCTCTCTTTCACTTAATCTCTTAATAACCTATGTATCGAGTCAGGGCCGGTGCGTACTACCTCAAGGGGATCGGGGGGGGGGGTTCAATACTCATTGGGTGCCACGGGCAGTGCTTTCTGACCCACGCTATCTTAACATTTTTTTCTACCTACATTTATATGCGTTACAAATTAAACTAAGCACAAATGACGATTAAAGAATTAAATATTTTCACGGATTTTGTCGTTATTCTGTTTTGTCTAAATCCGGGAATTTGTTTTGCTCCTGTTCTGTCTCGAAATAGCACTATATAAAAAAACACTATATAAAAAAACACTATATAAAAAGCACCATATAAAGTTCACTAATATAAAGTTCCATAATCCTGAATGTCTTAAAATTATCCAGCGTTATAATAAGGAAAACCGTAAGTTGATGTAAACATTACCGCAAAGCGTTGTTGATGTATTCATGATGGAATGATCTATTATGACATTTCTCGAATTTGTATTTAGATGCATTGTGTTTATTTACAATTTTCTTGTTGAATTGTTCAGCTATATTACATATAATTCATTACTGCACATAATTAGCTTACAATAACATTTTATTTTATATGAATACTACTTTATGAAAATTGACATGTGGCAGAGTTAGGGACAGGGTATCATAGATTCAGTGGGGTATCATAGATTTGAGGGGCATGATACTTTTGCATCGGTCCTGTATCGAGTCTACAAGTTGCATAGAGGCGTGAAAATGTCGGTCATTATGCAGTGTTGATTCCTGTGTACACAGTCTGTATCTATAAACACACACACACACACACACACACACACACACACACACACACACACACACACACACACACACTCTCTCTCTCTCTCTCTCTCTCTCTCTCTCTCTCTTATAGTGAACACTCTTCCACTATAAATATAGTATTTTTTTTGTTTTAGAGTAGCTAGCAACACTTCGGCACTCTACCATATGACCTGGCTCATAGTCTACGATTAAGGACTTCAACAGGTGATTAATAAGTTGATACTAAGCTGATTAATGTTAGGACTGATCTTACTTCGTTTGGCTATACACCAGTTGACCCTCATCTATTCCTTGTAAGTTGTCTTGTTAATTAATTTGTAACTTAACTTTCTGTGTATTTTTTTTCTTATATGTATCCGTTAGCACCGGATACTGGTGCTGAATAAATATATTAAGCACTCATTCTTGTCTGTGTATCATTCACCTCGACGATACAACAATTTTAAACCCCTCTACGAAAGCTCCCAATTAGTGCCCAGGACACTTATTTAGAAAATGTCATTTGAGGGGGGACGCTTAATTGAGAGGGGTATTAAATCGAGAGGGGGGCGCTTATTTGTAAAAGTGCATTTTTTTTAGCCATATACATCTTTTATTTGCTTATCGCCACACCGATTCCTGTACGATCACCGAAGTTAAGTAACGTAGAGCCTGCTCAGTACCTATATAGGTGACCGCTTGGAAATACGTGGTGCTGTAAACTTGGATGCTGGTAAAGTATGAAACCACTTCTTTTCCCCGAGTTATGGGTTAATTAGTGAGAGCTGTATCATTAAAACATTATTAACCCCACAAAAAATTCTTACAATCTAAAACTATTTTCTGACTTCAAATAAACTAGGAAATGGTTGTTAAACATAGAAAACAAATCAAGGAGTCATTTTTTTTTATTTATGTAAACATTCGGACATTCACTAATGATAAGACATAGGTGCAGTAGTCGAAATTATTATAATTGTGTTAAGCGGTATTTACACTTAAAGCAAACGTATCGACCCGTGTCGTATCAAAATTCAAAAAGTGGTTGGTCATCTCACTAATTATTCTTATGTTAATAACATTGTTATCCGCCTTTGGTAAGTAAAACAATGTTGGATTCTGTTCTGCTTTGGGCATACCGTAATGGATGAAATGTGGAGTATTTTTGGAAACTGAAAGACAAAATCTCTTGTTAATTAGTATCATCGAATGAAGACTGATAAATCACAGCGATTAAGCTTTTTTATTAAATTATTTTTGCATTCGTGCATGCATTTCCTTTTTCTGGACATAGAAAGTATAAAAACTGTCGAAATGATCTGTGGATTCGAGCATTTTCAACTAATCTATTAGCAATTATCAATTATTATTTTTTTTTTTAAAACTGAAGATATAAAGCAGTCGACTCGTATTTGAGGATACCCGTCTACTACGGAGGCTAGCTAATCCCTATTGCGGACGCCTGCTCATTTGTTTTCATCCAACACCCACAGAGCCCATATGTGGTTTATACTGCATCTATGCTGAGTAGACATTCTTTACAGTTTCTGGGAAAGAGCGTGTTATCTAGCATGATCAACAACTTGAACAAGGCCAGCACGCTCAAGCGCTCGCTCACTGTGACTTCGTGGTAGCACAGCTATTGACGGCAAGGGTTCCGTCTACCCAATTTCACTCACAAGGTTTGGGTCAACCCGTGGTATGGTTTTCAGACACTTTCCAAAGATGCCGCACACTGGGATCGACCCCTCCAGTCCGATAACATCTAGAAGTTTCCTTCCTGACAAATCGACCTTGGTGAGATTTGAACTCGGATCTCGTGATTAGAATGCAAACGTTCTAACCACTCGGCCATGTGCCCATAGAACTGAATATGTAGATAACGGTTAATCGATTAGTCAAAATCGCTCGGCTCCATAGATCATTTCGGCAGTTTTTTTTCTGTATGGCAGTGAATGCTGAACAGTCTGATCAATGCTAAAGAAGAGACTTGAAGCAACAGAAATGTGGTTATGCTGAGGATACCATGGACCAATGGACCAAATATGTGAGCAATGACGAGGTTTTAAAGAAAACGGAAACAAAAATGAAACTTATACTTAACATTAGAAAGTGTCAGTTGAAATCTCTGGGGCACATGATAAGGAAAGAGAGCTTGGAAAATCTGATACTCACAAGGCAGTGTAAAATAACCACAACCGCAATGGTAGTAATAATTCTTAATACCGGGTTCTTTATCTTCTCAAGGGCCTGATCTGAGAAAATTTTTATGAGAGGTTGATGGTCAACAGTCAATAGCATATCTGGACATCTCTATCCATAAAAGGAAGGATGTGTGTGTGTGTGTGTGTAACGAATGCGCGGCTGCAATTTTCGACGGATTTGCACCAAGATTTACATGCACATGCTCCAAGTTAGCGGGAAGGTCAAGACCGACATTACATTTCCCAACTCCCATCGATAGTGAAAATAATTGATTTTTCATGCTTCTACGGCAGTTTTCATGTAATTTGCGGCCATTTTCTACTGGCCAGAGTGAGAGCCTATAGCTGGCTGCCACGAATAGGCAGGAAGATTCTATTAGCCAGCGTGAGAGCCAACAGCTGACTGATACGATTGTTAACTAGCATGCAAAAAAGATTGATAGCTGCATTCGTCACAAGTGGGAAAAATTTAAACCTGCATGGCACTTTACTTCAATTGGCTCATTCGCTTGCTTAAATTCAACGTTGATTCTGATTCCGCAGAACTGGGTTGGGTGTGAAAAAGTATTTGTTGTTAACATTCTTTTTTCATTCGGTTTTTCCAGTTACGAGTCTTTTATTAAAGCTGATCGTTTTGTGTTCATTTTGTTTAGTTCTTTTTTTGTAACAGATTTAATTTTTAGTATAGAGCTTAGAAAAAATTCGCAGTGTGAGATAGGCAAGAAGTAAGGCATGTAGCAACATCAGCACGGCAAAGGGCACTCCTTTAAAGGCAAGGATGGGCAAAAATATTTTAAGTCAAGTGATAGCGATTGCTGTATGAGTCGTACGATTTTTGAAAAGCACGGGCAACGCCGGGCCATGCTGCTAGTCCCAATATAAACACCTGACATGATTCTAGTCCATAGACAAAAGCCAGGGCTTCACCTTCGATCGATGCATAACGAGATTCTGCGTCGTTGGTAAAGCGAGATCCGACCAAAATAATTTTCCACTGACCATTACCGCAATTTGGGTTCGCTTCCTCGGGGCAATTACAGTGCTTTTGAAAAAGAAAATAACTGATTCCTGTTGAAATATATGTCGCTTTATTGATCTCGAAAGTCCTCAATTTCCCGCACGATTACTCGCTTCGACTCTTTAAAGTTAGTCAGGTGTTTCGTTCTAATAAATTTTTTCGGTTCTTAGAGCACAGTAATTCCCGGAAGGGGGCCGTCACCTCAGCTTGCGAGAATGCATAAGATACCCGATTCACCAGTCCAAACTAGGACCTGCCGTCCGTGATATTTGTGAGCGTAGTCATTTTCTTCGTTGGATTCACACCATCGACCGTAATTAAGAACCCGGCAAAATCCACCTCATTCTCTGAAAAATGGAATTTTTCAAGGTTTAACACAATCGCCTTCTTCCAACAGTGTACCAGAACGAGGACTCTATAGAATCGTCCCAAAGGAGTCTATCGACTATGCAATGAGTTTTTCGAACCATGTTTACTGTAATATCGTCGAACCGACGGGTATATCTGTCTTCAGACCCGTGAAATCGCTGGGCAGCACGAAGATACCTGTATCGGTTGAGCCAATTCTCATATGCATAAACAACACACGCCCTTTTATATGAAGTTGGTTGTCTGTGATGCCCCCTATTTGATGACTAATTGGCACGAGGTACTCGTCTGGGCACCTGAATAGTTCTCTGGTCCACTTGAACAAGCGAAATTATTTACCCCTCTATCGGCGAATGCGAGGATGCGATGACCACTGTAACTAATTGGATCTGTCTGGATGCGTCCAAATAAAGCTTTTTAGTCACTTCTATTGTCAGTGATGGCGGTGGTTCTGGGAAACCCCCTTCAAATCGCTTTCCATTTGACGCAAGATGAGGCACTCTACCTGTTTTACGGTTTAGTTTTGATCTGCTAGCATAGCGGTTGGCGCGGGTGGGGTGGGTAACTTTCAGATTAGTGTTTGGAAAAGTGAACGAATCAACTCTTGTCTCGCACCTTGTTGATCTGTTCGTGGTTCCAATTTCAATTTTAGCAGGTTTCTGGGATACCCTTTTTACGTGACTTCTAATCCCACAATTATCACACACCAGTTTAGCTGCTGGGCAATCTCTCCTACTAACTGATCCACCTGGGTGGACTGTCTGCCCGCAACCAGCGAAGATCATTATTGGGCGAAGAAGCGGGCACATTAGTTCTTCGGGGTTGTCGAAGCGCACGACGTTCGTGGCCAGATATCTGTAGGTAGAACGAGGTTGAGGGGCTAACATCATTTAGTAACTGTCCAGCTGACTTGCCCGTCGTTTCCAAGCTGACAAGTCGGTTGAGTTTTTGCTCGAGTGTTGTGAGGTTGGCAGCCTCGTTCAAAACTCGACCCTGGTGCTACTTGTTACCGAATACCGCAGTCATCTGCCCAGCTATCATGTCACACAAGTAGTTGACTCGCAGCCTTCTGTGATGGGATAATCAACTGTGAACGAGCAAAATTTGGCTTGAGCTCGTAGTCTTGCTAAAAAAATGAGTGATTGACTCACGTTCCGCACGACGTGTGAAAAGAAAGATCAGCCCGTGAACTTCCTTGTGAAAGCTCTTTACTGCAATGAATCCGATGTGTTACAAAAGCCTTTCCTCTGTGGCCGAATTTAAGATTTCATACCCTATAAGGTCGAAAAGGAGCCTGTTGACTTCGGGCGAGGATGTCGTTCTCATATCGTTGCATATTTCGACTGTGTTGGTATGTTTACACATCTTATGCTTAGCTCAAGGGTCAAAGAATAACGCACAATCATTGTTCGTTGCTGTTGGTTCAATGACAGGACGGTCTGTTTTTAAGTGTTGGACTTTTGCGTCGCGTTAGGGGTTTCGTCCCTTCGAAGAGCTATAGTTTCCATTTGTAGCTCTATCATATGTTGCATGAGTTCAGCAATCAAATCGTGGGTTACGCCTGGTACAGATGCCATGTCTTATTTAGTTTAGATAGTTCCACGTATTTACCAGAATCCTGTTCACAGAGCCATGTAAAATAAACACAACAGCAATAGTAGTAGTAATTCTTAATTACTTTATTCTCGTACCAACGAAATATAAATACAAAAATATATCTGGTACCTGGAACCTCAGTTGTTTATATAACACTTGACGAGGTAACTTATGTCTGCTTGTGGAATGAGACATTCCATTTCTAATCAGAAAGAGTGAATCCAAGAAGCGGAATAACAATGGAGTCTATTTGATGAGCTTGAGTAAATGGAGGTCGGAACAGGGTTTAGGAGAAATAAAAAGAAGACAAGATTTATTAAGAGCTACAAAGGACGGGAAATTGTGGAGAGCCATGATCGCTTACGTTCTGAGTGGACACGGTATATAAATAAGATGTCCATAAAAGAACATACCTGTACGAATACAATAAAAATTGAATAAAAAGATTAATCGCAGTGCCTTATCATTCATCTCTCGATGAAACTTTATGTATATGTGTGTGTGTATATCTATCTATCTATCTATCTATCTATA